CTTTTTGCATCTGTTTCCTGTTAGAAACGTCATCAACACTCCCACTCCCCCCTCTGGAAGATCTCCTGCTGTGTTCTCACATGGGCTCATTCAGACATTCTCCAGAGTTTTGACCAGGGGGCTCGGTGGACAGACCCTGAAGAAAGTTTGAAGCCTCTGACTCAGACGTTTGGGTTCTCACAAACAGCCCTTCCAGAGAAAATCCAGAGATAATCCAGACTTCAGTGCATGTCTGAAAGCAGCTTTGGTCCCTAAATTTACTCCCTGTGCCAACTTGGTGATCGATTGGTTTCCTCTGAAGTGTTCGAACCCCTGAACAGTTTCCTGTCTTTCTGTTTTCTTTAGTTTGATCAAATGTACCCTCACTATCTGGTCTGTTAGTTTTCCTCAAAAGATCGTTTCAGGTCACAGGCCTATGTTGCAGGGAAAACTCCCTCTGTGAGCAGGAAAGTCATGAAAACTGTCCGAAAGCTCCAGAAAAAAAATAAGAAAAGAAAATCCCTGAATGGCTGCTCTGTGGGAGTACAATTAATTTTATTAGCCCCCTTGGAAACATTCAACCTAACAGTTTCTGCATAAATTAAAGATAATCCAGTGTAAATTATGCAAATATATTCGCTCAGATAAAGGAGGGGGCGGTGTAGTCGTTTGTTGTGAGGTTTAAAAAAATCTGAGCCAGCGGTTGAAACCAAACTGAGGGAAACTTCACTTAAGAGTTTAACAGGACTCGGCCTGTGAAGAAATAACACAGGGATGTTGCATCATCTGTAAATCACCGAGAAGATGAGTGAAGCTCAGTGAAGAATCAAACTGTGGAGAAAACACAATAACAGCAGGTCATGTTTGGTGAAGTTTTCATTTCATCTCATAAGTTTTCACTCTGATTTGTTGTGTTCCATGCAGCCGTCTCATCATAATCCCAAGAAAATCAACATGCAGAGATTTCAGACTTCGACAGGGAGATAATCCAAGATAATCTAATTATAGCCAAAGTGGAATTAGTGAAGGATGTTGTCATCATGTTGTTCTGCAGTGAAGGAACTTTTTGAAATGGTAACCATCTTGGCCAGATTATGAGAACAGGGGACCAAAGGGCAAAACGTTATTGTTGGAACGCACCCTGGGTTCAAATGCTGGGGATTGAGATGTTCATATTTCGTGGTAAATTTAGGAAACCTTCAGGAACCTCGGATTTTTAGCGTCAGTGACCTTGTGCGTCTGGGTACAACTGTGTGCAGAATATCAACCTGGAATAAAGACACCTCAAACCTCATGAACATGCCACTGCTGTAGATGCAGGCTGACCTTGAAATACTGCATTAAGGTAATTTAACTTGGAATGGGGGATAAAAAATTTACAGATTTACCTTGTTTGTTATTATGTCGTGGTCACGTAATATATTTTTTCTCCCAAATGTCACCAGGGGCTCTGTTACACATTCACACAATCAGAGATCTTTTCCCAGCTGTTTGTTCTCGTATTTATAATAAAATACTTTGCTCCTCGTTGTGAAACATGAGGCTCTGCTTTCATTTCACTTGTCCATGTCTGTGATTGGTCATATACAGTAAACACCGCCCCTTTTATGTGCACTCATATCCAGAGTAGTAATGCCTGGGTTGACTTTAAGAGTTGATAATCAGCTTTGTATGACAGGTTAGCCTGACTGTGTTCGTTGTTAAGTTCATCTGGAAAGATAACCTGGGTATGTTAAACTTGCTTCGTAGAACAGGTCTCTGATTATTAAGTCCAGTAAAAACGCTAAATAAAGCAGCTTCACATTAAACATTAGTTTGTCTCAGTTTGTTTGGCCAACGACTCTGAGCTGCCACATTTTCTCTGCTTCTTTCTCTGAAAACTTAGATCCAGAGATCTGACGACAAAAATCCTTCATCTCGTTAAAATACATATTTTAAAAGCACCAAGATATAAAAAGTGTTTCATAAGAATTTGACTTAAAATTGAATACAAGACAATTTTGACTGTTATGAAACAACACTGACAGACGCGCAAAGGATATATGACGCCACTAGCAGGCGACCGAAGAAAACGCTTGGTTACCTTGATTAAAATTTCCATTTCTGCTGGAAACATTTCAGATAATATCAGTACCAAACTCAGCAATGTCGTCATGTGATGAGCAGGTGGACCTAAATGCAAGTGAAAAACAAAAAGTCTTTTAATTCAGACCAAGTATGAGGCTAAAGTACTTACAGCAAAACATGGGTCCAAAAAACCAAGTTCAAAATAATGAATACATGGACAAAAACAAGGAAAACCAAAAGCACTGTCACACAGATATGGAACGAGGGGAAAAGACGAACTGACAGAGTAATGCAATTTTGAAAAACTTGTTTTAATTCTGTGCAATTTTATATTTCTATTCCTTTGCATTTCACAGGGAAGTGTTGTACCTTTTAATGCACCACATTTATCTGGCTGCTGCAGTGACTTTTCAGATTTTACATCAAATATTAAAATAAAATGACTTGCGGCAAGTGATCCTCATGAAGCAGCAGTTTTTAGTTGGTGCTCCATGTCGTACATGTGTACGAGTTGTCAGCAGGTCCACCAAAGACACATTTCACCTCTGAATTTCATGGCTTCATTTTAATAACTGCGACAGTACATGAAACCATCCAATACTTCATACAAAAAGCAGGAAATGGAGTAACTAAACACATTTGTGGATCAGAACTTTGTCAGTGTGAACCTCTGGACTAAACGCTCCCTCTGGAAAGGTCAGAACCACCTCCACATGGAGCAGCAGCATCGATAAAGTGCTGTTGAAGCTTTGATGCATCAGAGCACACATTCTAATAAGGTCATACTGCTGGGGTACCTGCTTTTCTTTCTTTTTTTCTTTTGTTTTTTAATCTCTACTTCCTGTTTACCTGGGCCTCAGGTCCACTCTCACCATCCAGTCCTGTATCCTGCCTCCCCCAGCTCACTGCTCCATCTACAGTTAATTTGATACGTGAACTACATTCAATGAAGGACTTCTTGTTTTTTCACTTTGTGATATTGGAGCTTTTACTAGGATAAAAGTATAAATTTTTTATATAAGGGTTATAAAGTCTTTATATTAAGATAAATGATTACTATTGTCCTCGGTCTGTCTCTACTGGAGGCACAGAGGTGACACTAATTTTAGGTTTAAAAATCTACTATCACTTTTAAATTCCTTCCCTCCAAACTACCTCATGAAATCATTAACCCTCTCTGTGTTTGATGTAGATTAATGAATGGAGCTCTGCTTGTTAGTCCTATTCATCATCAGGCTATAATTAAAAAGATCAACTGTTGGTGTAACAGCTGATCTTTTTAATGGTCAATAAGTGCCAACAAAGAGAAAAGTG